TCTATTCTATTCTATTCTATTCTATTCTATTCTATTCTATTCTATTCCTTTTTTAAGGAAGCTTCCTAAAATACATGTTCACACCCTCACAATACTGTCTGATAACCTGTATAATTTTAGAAAAACACTTCAGCTCATGTTTTCTGTGACATCTGAGTGGAAAATATTATTTCCGATTAAAGACTATCAGAAAGACAGTATTGTGAAGCATAGCCACTGAAAAAAACTGTCATCTTTAAATGCTTGCTACTTTTTTTTGTCAGCCATCTCATACCACCTGACAAGCATTGCACTGCACAAGTTAACCTTTGCACCGTGCTATATGTGACACATTAATAGATCACTATAAGAAAGACAAATATTCAAGGTGAAAGAAGAAAAATAAAGCCTTTTGGATATCAGCTCCTGCTCTAACATATGCCGGTGAAACATGGACACTAACCTCACAATCCATACAAAAGCTACGAGTGGCGCAAAGAGCCATGGAAAGATACATGCTCGGCATCATAAGACAAGATAGAAAGACCTGCATTAGAGAAGAAACAAAAGTATGCGACATGATCAAGAGAGTAAAAGAATGGGAATGGAGATGGGCTGATCACATAGCAAGAAGAACTGATGGCAGGTGGACCAAGGCAGTCGTAAAATGGATGCCACTTGATAAAAAGTGTCCATGAAAGAGACCTAAAACAAGATGGATGGAGGACATCAGCAAGTATTGCAGGCCCAATTGGCAAAAGAAAGCTCAGGACCATATTGGTTGGAAATATGTGGAAGAGGCCCTCAACCTGCAGTGGCTAATGGCTGCAGTGGCTAATGACAATGGCTAAAATAATGATGATATCACCCACTCTACATCCCAAGACATACTTTATTTTAATTTTCATCAATATATGACTTCAGCAACAAAATGTATTTTAAAAAAAAAGTAAGGTCTCTATTAAAATGATAATTCATCTAACTACAACTGATAATTTAATTGTGTATTGTTTAATTTACACTCCACCTATCCTTCACAGGAACTTCAAAATCCTTCCTTTTAACAGCCTTCTGTGAAATTGTAAGTTAGGAAAAAATGGAAAGAACGAATGAATGGAGATGTTCAATTTCTAGCCTAAGGCTTTAATCAGTATCCTGACAGAGTGATCAAAGCTCTATCAATGTTTAATATATGTCTCCCATGCAACACACACAAAAAAGAGGCGAAGCTACTATAACCACCATTTTGACTTTTTAAACTACATTCAATCCCGATCATTGCACAACCGTGTCAAGGCAATTTGCCAGTTACCTCTTACATTTGCTGTTCAAACTTCTGCATCGTTAGGGAGAAGAAAGTACAACTTATTCCAACATGACAACCTCAAAAGAGAGAAATGCATAAGTCAAGGAGTGTGTCACTTATCTCAAATACCTTAGAAGACACCCACAGAATTGAATGGGACTTACTTACAGGAATGAAGTTTTAAGCCCAGAGGAGAAAAAGGCCATCTTTCAACTTAGTAGAAAAGAAATGTATTACAGTAATAAATTTATTACAGTAAAACAAAATTGAAGAGTCAAAAAGAATTAAAAGTCGTCAAAGAAATGAAGATCGCAGGCAACCTATGGGAGGTTCAGTTATGATGTTGGTAGCTCAGCCACAAATTCATGGGAAGTTTTAGCGGCATAATTCGAATGAAAACTTACAGGAGTTTTTCTCTAAATAAATCCCATCAAGTTAACTGGTCTTATGTCTTAGCACGCAAAAAAAATTGCGTTGTCTCAGCACAGACTTCTTATTCGGGAGTTAAATCTCCAAAGATACAAACTATCAGGGAAGTGTGCCTCGAATCGCAATCCTGGTAGCATTTCCTCCCTTGAAGCCAGAAAGCCTTTTTTTCACAGCTTTATGCCTTGCAAAGTGTTGTCAACCTTGTGTCGGTCAAACTCCGGCCAGCGAGCTGACAGCTCTGCAAAAGCAGATCCGTTTTCATATCTGCGAGAAAACTCATTTCAAGTTTTCAACCTCATCCCTAACCTTACAAACCAACGCAGCCCACCCAGAAACGTCAGAAAAAAAGAGTCAACTTGGAAAGTCAGCAGTATCCCTCGCAGAAACTTTCAGGGAAGAAGAAAATAAATCATTTCTATTCCTTTCGATCAGTGAACGGCAACAAGAGACCCGTCCCCCGTTTTGCCTCGCCTTGAATGCTCACCTCGGACCCGACCGACCCTGCTGGCGTTTCAAAAAAGAAATCCCAGCGCGCTGCCCTCGCTCGGTTATCGAACTTCTACGCTAGAGTAACCCTTTCAGACTTCCTTCTCTTCACTGCCCTTTAATCTCTATGATCCCCCGCTTTCTCCTTTTCTTTCTCTTTGGCGGGGCCGCTACTGCTTCCTTCTGGAGGGAATGCAAGTTACAGTAACTAGTTTGGATCCAAACTAGTTACTGTAACTTGCATTCCCTCCAGAATATGTGTGTGTGTGTGTGTGTGTGTGTGCATATGTATATGTATATGTATATGTATATGTATATGTATATGTATATG